CCTCTCCTCTCCTCTCCTCTCCTCTCCTCTCCTCTCCTCTCCCTCTCCTCTCCCTCTCCTCTCCTCTCCTCTCGCAGTGATGAACGGCAGCAGCCACTCGCCCACCGCCATCAATGGGGCCCCGTCCACCCCCAATGGGTTCAGCAACGGGCCGGCCACCTCCTCCAGCGCCTCGCTGTCCACCCACCAGCTCCCACCAGCCTGTGGAGCCCGGCAGCTCAGCAAACTCAAGCGGTTCCTCACCACCCTGCAGCAGTTTGGCAATGACATCTCGCCTGAGATTGGGGAGCGGGTGCGCACCCTCGTCCTGGGGCTCGTGGTACGTGCGTGGGGAGCGGCGGGGGCTGCCCTCCCTGTGTCTGTTTGGGATGGAGACGATGGGTGGAGATGATGCTCAGTATTTAGCATTAGGCTAGATGTTAGGAGACACGGGCTGAAAGGAGAGGTTGTGGGTGCGCCATGTTTGGAAGCGCCCAAGGCCAGCTTGGATGGGACTTTGGGCATCCTGATCTGGTGGGTGCAACTGCATGCATGGCAGGGAGCTGGAACTGGGTGGGATCTAAGGTCCCATCCAACCCAACGCAACACAACCCATTTTGTAATTCTATGGGCTTGTGATCTTTAAGATCCCTTCCAACCCAGCTGTTACGGCTGTGTGATCCTCTTGGTCTCTTCCAACCCAACTCAACACATTCTATCGTTCTGTGGCTCTGTGGTCTTTGAGGTCCCTCCAATTTTACCTTTTCCATGGCTCTATGATCTCTTCCCATTCAAACCAACCCATTCTATGGTTCTATGGTTCTATGGTTCTACGATATGGTTAAGTGGCAAGAAGGGGCCCCTTGGTGCTGCAGCGCCTTAAGTTAAGTGGATAAACGGAGATAAAAGGAGACACCTCACAGGTTCTGCAGAGCAGAGGGTTCCCCTGGAGCAGCACGGGGGGCTGAGCGGCTTCTTTCCCCACAGAACTCCACGCTGACCATCGAGGAGTTTCACGCCAAGCTGCAGGAGGCCACCAACTTCCCACTGCGGCCCTTTGTCATCCCCTTCCTGAAGGTGGGTGCCCCGTGTGTCCCCTCCCATGGCGCGGGGTGAGGACCGTCTGCAAACCATTTGCAATTCATTCAAAAAATCCCCTTTTTGGACATTTCCTTTCATTATTTTGTTTTTCCGCTGCGGGGGGATTCGCCCATCGCTGCCTTTCCTGGCAGATGTTCCGGCCCTGTAAGCTGGGGTGATGCTGAACCCGTGCCCTCTCCCCACTCGTGTGTTCTTTGCTGCCCCACAGGGGGCTGCTGGGGGGGACAGCAGAGCATCCCCAAGGCCGGCACCCTGCTCCCAGCTGCTCCCACCCTGGGCTCCAGCTGCTTCCCATTACCCTAAGTGCAAGCAGCCGGGTGCGGCGTGCTTCCCAGACTCTGGATTTTTTGGTTGGTTGGTTGTTTTTTTTGGGGGGGGATTGTTCCCCCAGCCAGGGAAAAGGGCGGTGTGCGTCTCTGCCTCGCGCTAACGTGTCGGACAGATGGGGGTTTGGCTGCAGATCAGCTGCCTGAAGAGAAAAGCAGAGCTGGCAGCCGGAGCACCTGGCTTACATGTGTTCCTGCTGCTCCGCCGCCGCTGCTCTGAGAGCTATGAGGATGGGGGTGGCTGCTTTTGGGGCGGCTTTCGGGGCACCACGATGGGGTCTGGACTTTTGCTCCACACCTTCTCCCTCCAGGCCAATCTGCCCCTGCTGCAGCGTGAGCTGCTGCACTGCGCCCGCATGGCCAAGCAGAGCCCGGCGCAGTACCTGGCGCAGCACGAGCAGCTGCTGCTGGATGCCAACGCCTCCTCACCCATCGACTCCTCCGAGCTGCTCCTGGAGGTCAGCGAGAGTGGCAAGAGGAGGACACCAGACAGGTGAGGATGTGGTTTAGTAGGGATGTATCCGTACCGCCCCACACAGTCAGGGGTGCCAAAGGGGTTGGCGGTTCTGGATGAGGTAGCCTGGGATAGGGTGCGTGGTTTGGGATGGAGGTGCGTGGATCGGGGTCTGGTGCTCAGTTCCAGCGTAAGGTTGCAGGATTTGCATGTGCTGCATGGTTCAGAATGTGGGTGTGGGATCTGAGAGGTGGAGCAGAGTCCAGGGTGGAGGTGTGCAGTCAGGGATGGGGTGGGTGTCCAGGATGTGGTGCGCAGTCTGAGATGAGGATGTGCAGTCCGGAATGTGGGATGTGTTCTGGGATGTGATGCGTGGTCCAGGATACAGCACACAGTCTGCAGTGGGGTGCATGGCCTGAGAAGGGCTGGGTGGCTTGCAGGCCAGGATGGTGGGGGGAGCAAAGTGCAGCGTGGGGTGGTGTGTAGTCAGGGGTGCAAAATGGGTACCCGTGTGAAGGGCTGTGCACGGATGCTTGGAGACCCCACGGGGACCCCATGGGAACCAACATCCTCTCCCCCCTCACCCCCCCAGGACCAAAGAGAACGGTTTGGACCGCGACCCCCTGCACCCCGAGCACCTCAGCAAGCGGCCGTGCACCATGAGCCCGGCGCAGCGCTACAGCCCCAGCAACGGGCTGAGCCACCCCCCCAACGGGCTGCCCCCCCCCCCCCTGGCCCCCCGCCCCAGCACTACCGCCTGGAGGACATGGCCATGGCGCACCACTATCGCGACACCTACCGCCATGCCGACCCCCGTGAGCGCCCACGGCCCGGTGAGCTCAGCTCCCTGCTTTGGGTGGATGTGTGGGGCTGGGAGGGATGCAGATCTGACTGGGCGCGCCCCCCCCACAACCTCATGCTTGGTTTGCAGCTGTGCATGGGGCGCGCCAGGAGGAGGTGATCGACCACCGGCTCACCGACAGGGAGTGGGCAGAGGAGTGGAAGCACCTCAACAACGTACGTAGAGCCCCCTGCCCGCCCCCAGCTCCCACCGTGTCCCCCCTATGGCCTTTTTCCCCGAGCGTCTTTTGCTCCCATGGCCCAAATCCCACCCCTGCACCCAGCATTGCGGCCTCCCATCCCCGCTGTTCCCCCCTGCAGCTGCTAAACTGCATCATGGACATGGTGGAGAAGACACGGCGGTCGCTGACGGTGCTGCGGCGGTGCCAGGAGGCCGACCGTGAGGAGCTCAACCACTGGATCCGCCGCTACAGCGACGCCGAGGACATGAAGAAAGGCAGCCCCCCCTCCGCCCGGCCCCACAACAGCTCCTCCAGCTCCGAGGCACCCCAGTTAGGTATTGGCCTGGGGGGCTGCACCCTCTCCGGGATGCTCGTGCCGTTCCCCCAGCACCAGGTTGGGACGGAGGGGGTGGCTGCTGCTAACGTGTCCCCTCCTGACGTTGCTCCTTTGTAGATGCGCACCGGGATTTTGCACCGCGGCCGCTCTCGGGGTACATGCCTGAGGAGATCTGGAGGAAGGCTGGTGAGTGTGGTCCCTCTGCATCCCCTCCTCATACCCACGGGGCCGGAGGGAGCCGGGAGCCCCCGAGGTGCCCACCCACCCTGCCACGCTGCCCACCTCCCTTCCAGAAGAAGCCGTGAATGAGGTGAAGCGGCAGGCCATGTCCGAGCTGCAGAAAGCTGTGTCGGATGCTGAGCGCAAAGCCCACGAGCTGATCACCACTGAGCGCGCCAAGATGGAGCGGGCGCTGGCTGAGGCCAAGCGGCAGGCATCCGAGGATGCCCTCACAGTCATCAACCAGCAGGAGGACTCCAGTGAGGTGGGACGGGATGCGATGTGGGACCCACATCTGTGCGTGCCAGTGGCACCCCGGGGTGGTGGCAGCAGTGCTGTCAGGATGGGAAGGAAAGGGGATTTTGGGAGAAGGGGGCACGATGTGAGGTTGGGGCGTGTGATCCTATGTGACGGTGTGCAGCGCAGGATGGGGGTGCGAAGCTGGGGATGGGGTGCAGAATTCAGGATAGGATGTGTGGTCTGGGATGGAGTGAATGGTCCAGAATGGAGGCATGATACAGAGTGGGGGTGCACAGGAATGGAGTGGGAGCCCAGGAATGATGCATGGTCCAGAATCAGGGAGCACAGTTGGATGGGGTGTGTGGTCCAGGATAGGGTGCTCAGTCCGAGGTGAGGATGCACAGTCAAGAGTGGGGTGCATGGTCCAGGGTGGGGTGTATGGTCTGGGATGAGGGCCTGCAGTCTGGTGGAGCATTCATAGTCCAGAAAGCGGTGTATGGTTTGGGATGTGGTGCTCGATGCAGGGAACAGACTGCAGGATGGATAGAATGCATGGGCTGAGATAGGGTGCGTGGTCCAAGACCATGGGAATACAGTCAAGGATGGGGTATGTGGTCCAGGATGGAGTGTGCAGTCTGAGATGAGGTTGCACAGTCCAGAACGGGGATGCACGCTCTGGGATGGGGTGTGTGGTCCAGGAATAGGGTTCGTGGTCCAGGATGAGGTGTGTGGTGTAGGAGCAACAGTTCACACACTATAAAGGTGGATGTTGTCGTTGTCATTTGTGCAGACATCAGCTCTTCCACAAAACATTCACAGCAAGTGAGCATAAGACAAGGACATTACAAAGGATGAGTTTGAGCACATGTACCAGACCATAAGGGAGACCTTATTGCTCTCTTCCAATATCTGAAAGGTGCTTACAGCGAGAGCGGGGTTGGTCTCTTCTCACTGGTGACAGGTGACAGGATGAGGGGAAATGGCCTTAGGGTAAGTTTAGGTTGAGTCACCATCCCTGAATGTGTTTAAAAACCACTTGGATGTGGTGCTCAGGGACATGATTTAACGGAGGGTTGTTAGGGTAGTTTGGTTACGTTGTGGTTGGACTCGATGATCTTTAAGGTCTTTTCCAACCTGAGTGATTCTGTGATTCTGTGATTCTATGATTCTGTGATTCTATGATTCTGTGACTTGGTGCACAGTTCGGAAGGAGGTTGCATGAATTGGGCTGTGGGGCACGGCCCAGAACGCAGATGCGCAGTTCATGGATCCATGGATTCACGGTCCAGGAGTGCAGGGCACGGTGCAGGAGCAGGGAGCACAGCCTGGGATGGGATGGGGCTGGGCTGGGTCGGCCTCCCCCTGTCCCCCAGCACTGAGTTGTCCCCCCGCTGTCCCCTCAGAGCTGCTGGAACTGCGGGCGCAAAGCGAGCGAAACCTGCAGCGGCTGCAACACCGCCCGCTACTGCGGCTCCTTCTGCCAGCACAAGGATTGGGAGAAGCACCACCACGTCTGCGGGCAGACTCTGCAAGGGCTGCCGGCCCCCTCCGTCCCCACAGGCGTGGGGCAGCCCGAGGCGGTGCCCCCCATGGCCAGCAGCCCCAGCGACGCCGGCTCAGCAGGCGCATCTCGTGCCGGCACACCGGGGACCCCGGCGCCACTGGAGAGCGCATCGCGCTGAGCGCGGACTGACGCCCATGGCAGCTCTCTGCTCCCACACTGGGTGACCTCCGAACCGACCTCGAGCTCTCAGATAATCCTCACGGATCCTCAAACTGGGCTTTACGTGGAGTTAAGGCAACTACCCATTGTTCTCTGTTCTCTCTTCGGTCTTTGTTTTTTGGCTTTTTTTTTTTGGTTGCTTTTTTTTTTTCCCCCATCCTTTGGGCTGTTCCTTGCTACCCGGTGGCTTTTGGCATTTTTTTCTATCCATTTTTCTTTTTTTTTTTTTTTTTCCCCTCGTTTCTGGATGAGGAGCTCACTCACAGGAAGAGGAAGAAGATTTGTTTCTTCATCTTCATCTCTTTTTTTTTTTTTTTTTTGTAAAAAAAAAAAATAAAGACAATAAAAACAAACACGTCGGACTCTTTGGCTTTAAGTAAGAAATTGTAAAAAATAAAATAAAATAAAAATAAAAAAAAAGGAAAATCCCAAAAAGCAGACACCGCCGAGCCCAATAGAAGCTCACCTGTAACTACCTTGCTAGCTAGCCAAGAACAGACCAGACCCACCTCTGCTCCAAAGGAAATCCAAAAACCAGACAGATCCAAACGTCTCTCCACTGCCAAAGTTCGTTTCGTTCCGTTGCTGCCCGCTCCGACGCTGCCCCGTCCTCACAGCTCCGCTCCCGGAAGGACGGACGGACGCACCGCGGGTTGGAAGAGTTTCTATTACCATAAAGCAAAAAAAAAAAAAAAAAAGAACAAAAAAACCCCAAACAAACAAAACGACCCGACAAAAGAAAGACGCAGCGCCTCCCCACGTGGCACTGGGGGGGGAGCGGGGACGCGGTGCAGCCCTACCTCTGCCCAACGCCGGAGATGGGAATGGCGCAAGGGATGGAGCCGTCTGCGCCCAGCCTGCTCCCTGCATTGGATATTTTGGGGTTGAATGCAACGATTTCCAGGAGGGAAGGAGAAAAAGAAAGCAAGCAGCACCTCCCCCAGGAGGCGGACAAAGACGTGTGGGTGATTTTGTATATCTCGCAGCATTGTACAAAGCGCGGAGGACGGAGTGCAATACAGAAAGTGCGCGGCTCCGGGAGGAGGGACCCAGTGCTGCACCTTCACAGGAATGTAAATAGCGTCTGCAGAGGTCCAAAAAGCATCGCGACGACGGTGATGGTGATGAGAAGAGACATTTGCCAAATAAAGGATGGTGATCCGCACGGGAGGATGTGGCGTGTAGGAGCTTAGGCTGAACCGCGAAGCAGAAGTCATGTGCTCGATAGGAGCTTTAGTTTTCCGGATTTGCAAAAACCCATCCCGTGTGTTTTCCGTAGGCAGGGGAGGAGGAGGGGGGCAGGCTGCTCTGGTTGTGGTGCTGAGGGGCTGCCCTGGCCGTGCTGTGGCGTGCCGTGCCCTACCATGATGTGCCGTGGCGTGCCACTGTGTGCCACGGGATCCCATGCCATAGCTGCCGTATGCTATGGTGTGCCGTGCCATTATGTGCCATGCTGTGCCACGGCGTGCCATAATGTGCCGTGCCATGCTGTGCCATGCCATGCCATTCCATGGCGTGCCAAGCCATGCCACTGTACATCATGCTGCAGGTGCTGTGCAGTGCCATGGCGCCATGGTGCCCCGTACCGTGCCACAGCATGTGCCATCTCCCACCCCCAGCCCCACTGCCAGTCGGTGTGCACCCCAACACCCCGTGCCGGGGGCAGCGCCGGGGGCCCCTCGCGTGACTGTTCACTTTATTTATGGTGTGACATATGTAATATTGTCTATTTTTCTTACGTTTCCTGAGAAGAGGTAATATATAAGAGTCTTGCGGGTGCTCCCACTGGGGCCGCCTGCTCCCTGGGTGTCCGTCCCCCCCCTGACCCCGTGTGCCCCCTCCCCACCCTGCGCCGGGGCTCTGCCTCTCTACCTCCGCCTCGCCGGGAAACAGCGGACGGGAGCACTTACACGGAGTCTGCTCTCGTTTCCACTCCTTTTCTGATTTGCTTTTTTTTTTTTTTTTTTTTAATTATCATTTTCTAATTATTTTTTTTCCTGTGTTTTTTTTTTTAAATTTTATTTTATTTTTTTGTTATTTTTTTTTTTAAACAATAAAAATACCCTAACGAACCTTGCATCGAAACCAAAAGCCGAGGGAGGGAGGGAGGGAGGGGAGGGGAAGGGGAGGAGGGAGGGGAGGGGATGGGCGGTGCGGACGTCCGAACCAGAATGACAGCTTTAAAGTGTGATATTTCCCAAATATAACAATGCTGGGAGGACGGCGGCCGCGGGGGTGGTGGAGCAGCTTCTGTAGGGTTCTGCTCCAAACTGGGGCGCTTCTGTAGGGTTCTGCTCCAAAGCGGTGCTGGGATGTGCGTGGGGACAGGGAAGCGTGCCCCATGCAATGCCTTGGTTGTGTCCTTTGGTGGCTTTGTGGCACCCAGGAGGTGGCAGATGGCTGTGCCATGTGGTCCCGGTGCAACTGCACGGCCTGGGGACATCCTGGGTGCTGCCTGGGGATGCAGGGTGCCCTGTGCCAGCTCACGTCTGTGCAGCCACCTGCTCCCATTTTGGGTGTCGCGGCTGTAGTGAGGCTCATGGCATGGGGACATCCCTCCCGATGACCCCACGGGATGGCAGAGCTGTGCTTTGGGGTGCAAGAGTGGGCACAACAATGCCTCATCCCAGCCCCTGGCACTGCACCGGGGCCGTGCACCCCCCACCCAAAAACCCATATGAAACCAAAGTGCTGCCTCCCAGCAATGCTTCCAGGACCCCAAACCTCTCCGGGCAGCCCCCAGCGGTGTCACCACCACCCCTAGCCCTTATCCTCAGAGCATCCCCTGCTCCTCACCTGGCTTTGGGGATGGGACATCATCCACAGCAGCTCTCCTCGGGGTCCCCTCTGACGCCAGCCAAAGGCACAGCACCGGGAGGGTTGTGTCGTGCTGCTGTCCCCCCCGCCCCAGCAGTTCTGCACCAGCCATGGGGATGGGGACAGCGGGGGTCCCCAGGGCTGGGGGGCTGAGGGCAGAGCTCTGGTAGTGGTTTTGGGGCCAGCACAGAGAGATGACTTGGTAGGACTTTCCTTCGGCATGCTGTCCCTCCCCCCACCTCGTGCTGTTCCCCGCTTTCTCTTCGTGTACTGTATGTTCGATCTGTGAAAGATGTAAACTTTATGATTCAGGTTCTGTCTGTTCTTATCTCTGTATCTGTGTAATAAAAAGATGATTTAATATCAACCCGAGGTCTCCGCAGCCTGGTGTGTGCCGGCTGCTCTGCACCCTCTGGTCTGGGGGGGGGTCGGGAATTCCTGTGAGCATCACAGCTGGGGACACCGCTTGCTGTTCCCTACTATCTGCATGACGATGCTCTCTGCCCTCCCTCTGGGCAGCCGGAAGAGCAGCGGGGCGGAGCGGACCTCGCCCGGACGCGAGGCGGTGGCCGACGCCGGGTCTCGAACTCGCGTCCCCCAGGTCAGAGCCCGGGCCGGGTCCGCCTTCCGCCCTGCCAGCAGAGGGCGGGGCCGTGCTGTGATTGGCTGCTGACGTGTGAAAGCGGCGCTCCGGCGGGAAAGGCGCACGTGGCGGTGCGGGTCGGCGTGCGGCGCTGCTTTGCTGGGCGTCGGGCGGCTGTGCGCGGAGCAGGCGGCATGTTTGCGGGCAAGGCCAGGTGGGTCTGCGGGGTGGACGTGGGATACAGCTGGTGCCGGGCGCTGAGAGGCCCTGCGCTCTCAGAGCCGAGGGTTTGTCCCGGAGTTGGGAAGCGGTGAGCTTGCTCTGGTCGGGTTGGGGCAGCGTGCCTTGCTGCTTTCTCTGTTTGTCCTCTGCTGCGCTGCCACCCGTGAGGTTGGTGCTTGGTCCTGGCCTTTTGGCTCAAAGGAAGCTCCCTTCTGCAGTTTTCTGAGCTGGGCAGTGCCAGTGAACTGGAGAGCTCTCAGTAGAGCTTATTGCTGCAGCGGTGGGCTTTTGTTGCAAGCATACCTGCAGAATCGAGAGCAAACAGCTTTGGAGGTGGTTGCTTTTCCTTCTGCTGAAAGTACCCTACAAACTGTGCCTGGTTAACATCCTGCTTTTGTTTCTGTGTTAAATGGCTGTTTGTTGAGTTACTTCTCGCCCCTATTTTGCCCAGTCCTCTCTTCTTGGACTCTTCTGGGATCTGGTGGCAGGACCCAGCATCCATAGCAGCAGGGGAGGCGTCCTGGGATGTGCCGGAGGTGGCAGCTCTGCAGAAGGCTGCGGATGATGGCTCAGACCACAGCCAACCGGAGGAGGACAGCTTGGAGGAGCTGGCTGTGCAGGACCCTGTGAGTGTCTGGCTGAATGTAGGATCAGTTTTCCCCTTTCCTATAAGGAAATAGGAAGCCTCCTACATCTCTCTTTAAGCGCTTCAGAAAACTAAGAGTGATTTTTGGGCTCCTGTTGTTAAAATCCCTGAGCTGAGAAGCAGGAAATTGAATAGTCACTCTCCTGCTGTTTGCCTTTCCCTGTTCAGATGTCTGCTTGGCTGGGCTGCAGTCACTGGCTCCTGCTCACCACTAGCTTCAATCTCTGGTTCTCTCTGGCATTTCTGCTTCTGGGACACCTCTGCTGCAGCACTGCTTTGTGGGCAAGCACAAGGAAGGAAACGTTTTTCTCACTAGTGGAGCTGAGAGCTGAACTCCCTTTACTTGAGGCTGTTGTCCCCTGTCCCTAGCCTGGGAGCCCGTTGCTTCAGCACAAGGTGGGGAGTGGGTCTGTAGCACGTGCTGCTTGCACAAGCTGTGGTTTGAGTTCCAGGAGCTGGAGGCCATCAAAGCCAGAGTGCGGGAGATGGAGGAGGAGGATAAGAGGCTGAAGGAGCTGCAGCTGGAGGCTGAGAGCTGCCTCCTCATGGGCTCAGAGGCAGGTATGGGCTGTCCCTGGGTTCTGCTGTGCTCCCCAGGGTCGTGGGGTGTCAGTGGGGTTGGGGTGTACTGCTGTGCCCCTATGGGCAGCCCCACACCAGCTGGGACCAGGCAGCTGACATGGGGGAGGGAGAGGGTGCCAGGCACAGCACGCTGCTGTCACGTGTTTTATCCACCTCCCACCTTTGCAAGTTGAGATGCAGTAGATTAATTAATTTCAATGAGGTAATTGAGTTGAGCGCCTTCAGGTGCTGTGAAGAAATTGCCTTGTGTTATTCTTATGCAGAGAAAGATGGGGCAACAGGTGGAGGAGGAGGCTGAAGTGTGGGGCTGGGGATGCCCAGCCTCTCGCCCTCTGCAGGGCTCCTCTGTGACAGCACAGCCTCCATCTCTGCAGGTCTGTTCCAGAGGACGACCGAGGGGAAGGTGGAGGCTGACCAACGGTCCATCTATGTGGGCAATGTAAGTGAAGGCTGTGGAACAGAGCCCAGCCTGCTGCTCCTCATCTGGCAGATGTGTGCCGTGATCCCCAGCAAGGGGACCTGGCCACTGCCCTGCAAGAGGCTGGCTGCTCCCAAACCCGATGGAACACGAGGGCTGTGGCTGCAGGTGGACTACGGGGGCACGGCAGAGGAGCTGGAATCTCACTTCAACAGCTGTGGCCAGATCAACCGTGTGACCATCCTCTGTGACAAGTTCTCAGGGCATCCCAAAGGGTCAGTGCTGGGTGCATCCTGTGACACTGTAGGAACAGAGCTTTTGCTTCCTTTAAAAAAAAAAAAAAAAAGAAGGCAAGGCATGGCTTGAGTGTTTGCAAAGGCAGGGATTTATTGTCCCCTGTGGGGGCTGGCTGTGCCCTGGGGGGGGGATGCTGCTGTCCCTGGCGCTGGCAGCATCCCCAGTGCTTTGCTCCCTGTTCCTTGAAGGTATGCATACATCGAGTTTGAGCAGAAGAGCTCTGTGAAGGCGGCGGTGGAGTTGGATGAGAGCATATTCAGGGGCCGTGTCATTAAGGTCAGAGCTGGGCAAAGCCCCGGGCCGCATCCATCCATCCATCCCAGCCCCTACAACGCAGAGCTGGTGCTGAGCCCCCACTGCCTTCCAGGTGCTGCCCAAGAGGACCAACATGCCTGGCATCAGCAGCACCGACCGTGGCGGCCGCCGGGGCCGCTTCCAAGGCCGGGGAGGGCTGATCCCACGCTGGGGGTACTATGGGGGGCAGCCCCTGAGGCTGCGAGGGAGGACATACAGGTGAGAGGTGCTGCGTTTGGCTGGTGGGGCTGAGCAAGTGGCTGTGCTTTCAGGCTGCTGATGCCTGGTGCTGAGCAATGCCCCCGAGCTCCAGCATGGTTCTGTTCTTGCCTAGGGGTCGGGCCAGGCTGCTGCCTTGGTATTTCCCGTATTAGAAAGGAAGACTGCGCTGCCCTGGAGGTGCCGATGGGACCGAAGAGATGGGATTGGAGAGATTTAAAAACAAACAAAAAAATGCCTACCCGAGCCAAAAAAAAAAAAAAAAAGATTAATTTTAAAATGCCATCTGCCTGCCCTGGGGATTACTGGTGGCAGCTGAGTGCTGTGCAGCTGGAGCTGGGCGCGAGGGGGAAGACTGGATCTGCTCTGTTGGCATCCCAGGAGCCATCTCCTTATCTTAGGGCTTGTTTTTAAAGGGAAGACTTTGTGTTAAAGAAGGCAGGCTGGGAGACCACCATCGCAACTGTGAAGATCTGCACTGCAATCTGTTTTATTATGTGATTCTCACGCTGATCTTTCAGGATCCTTGGTTAGGATTCTTCTCGCCCAGATGAACTGGCTCCTAAAGCAGCTTTTCACTGCTCAGGGCACTGCCAGACTGAAAATCCCACTGAGTTTTGTTTTCCTTAGGACTTCAGGATATATAGATGTATATTTTAAAGCTCGGGGCCTTACCTCTTGTGTTGGTTTTGCACTTTGTCCAGCGTGGGCTGTGCTGCTGAGGCTGGCCTTGGTTTCCCTGTCTGAGAGACCCTTGGGCTCAAGCTACAAAACTGGCTTCTGCAAGGGCTCTGAGCTTTCCTTTAGTAGCTTTGTCAATTAGAGAGGCTTAATTTTTAATAAAAACTACTTTGGAGTGTCTGGATTGCTTTGTGCTGACTTGAGGGATAGGAAATGCAGAACTCTTGTCTCTGTGAGTGAGAGGAGTGAAGACTTTTATAGGAAACTTTCAGCATAGCAGTGTACAGCTGTGCCTTGTTTAGATGGTGGGAGAGGCTCAGATGCTTTCATCTCCTTATTTGACAGCTTCTTGTTGATTAAATGTATTTGAGTTCTGTCTGAGAAGGTAATGTAAATGTCACTTATTTTTAAAATAAATGATCCTGCTGTGTGAACTTCATCTGCAGTGAGACCGTGCTGGCTGTGTGCTGATGCTCTGTGCTGACCTGGCTCTCTCCAGGTTTCCTGTGTCTCTTGGAACTGTGTGGGGTTTTTCTCCCCTTGCATTTCTAACTGGCCAGGTGCTTTTCTAGTCTTTTATATAGAAATAGCTGCTCTTGGTTTGGTACTCTTTAATGAGGACAGCTTGGAGCCGCAGGGGGAGGAGATGCTAATAGATTAGTTTGGGATGAGGCAGGCAGCTGTGCAATCCTGATGTCTTAATCTCTTGGCACGGGTTTATCCCAGCTGCACTACCTGTGCTCCTTGACCTGCACCACAAATACTGCTGTGTGCACCAACCCTGTTTCAGTGAGCTGCAAAGCATTAATAGCAGATACTGTCAAATCCCAGTCACCTCTGCATCTGCCTCGGAAGGCAAGATGAGTGCAGGACTTGAGCAGGTTCAAGGTGCTGTTTGGGGCCAGCTGTTCGCTGTCTGCCAGTGTTCTCAAGTATGTCAGCACTGGCTGTGGTTGCAGAGACCTGGAGCCTTCAGCTGGCTTGTGCTGTTTTCTCTTTCCAAGACCTACTGGAGTAAGTACACATAGAACTGAGCGTTCCCAGTAAGGAAAAACAGGGCAAGGAGACCAAGTATGTTTGAAATAAGCATTGCTTCTCACATTCCTGATGCAGAAGCAAAGGGGGCTGGCAAACAGCAAAAGGCCTGCTGCTGCTGTGCTCCTTTGCATCAGAGGAAATGCTCTCAAGCACCAGCACTTGTGAGGAGCAGTGTCACTATCTGTGCCTCTCAGCTGACTGAAATCTGGGCTGACCCTAATAATAATCATCTCTTAGCTGTCTCTTGTGCAGCTGTGCTCGCTCTAATCACAAGCACAGTGGGAACTGCTGTCTTTCCACAAAGCCTGATTTCTACAGAAGCATCTGAGTTGCAGAGGAGCACAGCTGCGTGCTTTTGTGCAGGGAACAAAGCTCATCTGATGCTGCTGACCTTCCTGAAGGAAGAGCTCTTGCATGCTATCTGAAGGCTCGAGAGAAGCAGAACAGTGACTTCTGTGCTGTGTAAGGTTTGCAGGAATAGAGGCACATGCAGAGCTTGCAGGTGTCAGGTTTATTTTACATAGACTGAAAATATTACACAATGAAACCAATATATACATCATGCTGTAGGCACACTCCTGCACGCAGGGAATGTTCTCAATGCCTGGATCAGACTGGGCAGAGCCTCAGCACACCTGCATCATCATGGAGTTCACCATGTTATCAAAAGCCCTAGGGAAGGAAATAACACAGCATTAAAGGAAGCTGCTAGTTCTGCACACCACATCTCTAAACAATACCAGTAGCTAGCAATGCTTCTTATTGGCTAATGAGCTGGCTTTCCTCAGGCTGAATGCATGGTTTCACTCTAGCTACAGCACGTTCTTTTGAGTGAATAATGGCTTTAATTAAGCTGAAGTAAGGACAGGTCTTCTCCTGGCCAAGTTTTCTTGCCTAAGCAATAGCAACTCGCATTATTCACATTTCCTGGGAGATTTCAGTTTAGAAATAGGGAGCAGTAGCCCTCACAAGAGGAGTTGTGTGTGGTGAGGATCCTTATTCAAGGAGAAACCCTGGGCAACTGCAGTTGTTTGTTCTGTGTAACCTCTCTATGTACTGCAGGGAACTTCTTCTATCCCAAAGGCTCCTTTTTCCTGAGTCAAAGTTTCTAACACCAGTGCTGAGGTGGGGGAGAGAGAGTTCAATTGAACTTCTCAAGGGGCTATGGAGAGTTTCCAGCTATGTGGTAATGACCCAAAGACAACACAGCTGTTTTCCATCTCAGTGGTTACAGCACGTACATCTGAACTGGCCAAGCACAGGGATTCCATGCCTGGTCCTGCTGCATCGCAGATGCAAGTCCCAGAAAGATGACAAAGGTGCTCAGTCCACTCACCTGGAATGGATACGGTCTCCTGGGTTATAAAAGGGGTTGCACATTATGTCTGTGTAGGAATTATGCAGCTTTCGGAACATCTGAAAAGGGATTGTGGTTTAATTAATCTCTTTTTGCTTCTCAGCACTTTATGAATAAGTGGAAGCAGAAGGAACACTGATGTAGCAAATGGTGCTGATTTCCTGCACTTACACTGCGGATCTCGTTGTCCCGAAGTGCTGTGTTTGAGGAATCCACCACCATGACAAACTTCACCTTCGAGTTTGTCACGTAGCCATATCTGTGCAGCTGTTAAGGAATGTGTCATGGAGGCCAGCAAAGCAACTCAAACAAGGCTGGGACGCACACAAACAAAAAAGCTGAGAAAATACTGTGTTCTTACTGCACTCAGCACGTAACTAGAACTAGATGAGGTAAGACAGACATCAGGTTGCTCCCCCTTCTCCCTGATGCTGCCACTTTTGGTAACTCCAGATCAAGCTCGCTCCTGTTCTGGCCAGCAATGCATGCCTTGCACTTCAGAAGCAGTCTCCCATTAGCTGCTTTGGGTTTCTTCTTAAGAGCTGTTTCAATGACCCACCTCATCTATTGTCATTTGTCAGGCTGCAGTCAGAGACCTGGAGATCCTCTAATATCACTGTGATCTGGAACTCCAAAAATCAATGACCGGTTTATGAAAACCCAGAAATCAGGTCTGTTAGAGCAGATGACCTCCATCTGCAGGATTCAGACAAAAAGCCAGACGGTGCTCAGAAGGTCAACTCTGTGACTCAAAAACATTGGGACAGCTGCTGAACTGAACAAGGGACTGAACCCAATCCTTTGTGTGATAAACTAGGTTGCAAACAAGTCTGTGCTGCTTCTGCTAATGACTTTAATGCGGCACCAAATGGGAAGAGGGGTTTCCCATACAGAGCCCCTTGCAAGGAAGGTTATTAAATACACTTGGATACAATTGTAGTGGATGTCAAATACCAACACCTGCGAAGATGTGATTGCAAGGTGACCACACCTCTGAGACATTACAAAGATACACTTTGTAGTCTTCAGTTGGGTAGAGGAGCCCTAAATAGAGCTCCCTCTGATCTACCATAGCCTTGCCCATGGCAGAGATCTTCTCATCCACGACGTCCAGGGAAGTGTGCACGGTGTAGTGGAACTTGAGCTCATTTTCTGTCGGAACACTCCGGATGTAGAGGGGGTAGTTCTGTGGACAGTGACAAATCATGCCAATGTGGACAGATTCTGCTCCTGTAATCAATGGCTAACACTACTGGAGTGCTTTCACACTAATCCTGTCTTGCACCCAAGGCCAGCCTGCCCCTTTTACCTCCCACAGCACCTGCAGAACAGACCTGTCTCCATACGCAGCTGCACACTTGCACAGACAGCACCCACAGCACTCCCACATCAGATCTCCCTTTTACTTGGGTCTGTCCCCACGGCCCTGCAGGAAAGCCCCTGTCCCAGCAGCGGATCTGGGCCCATCTCTCTCCAGGGTCCTTCCCTCCCCTCCCCCGTGTCTCTGCCCGCCCCTCTCACCCTTGCTCCTGACCCACAACGCCAGCCTGAGTCCCCGCCCCGCGCACGCCCCTTTACCCACACCTTGTTCCCCTCCACCCCCCCCGGACCCCTCACGCGATCCCGGCCTCGCCCCCACCTCCTTGGCGATCACGGCGATGCACACCGCCATCTTGTCCCCGCCTCCTCTCCGCCTGTATCACGTGCCGGGGGAGGGGGGGGAGAGAGAGAGAGGGAGGCGATCACGTGACGCGGTCACGTGAGGTGCTGCCGGCGCGCATGGCGGCGGTTGCCATGGCGAGAGCGGTGCTGGTGCCGCTGTGGCTGTGCTGGGCCGTGGGCTACGCCGCGCCGCCCAACGTGGTGCTGCTGCTGATGGACGACGTGAGTGCGGGCTGGGACGCCTGGGGGGGCACCTGGGCCTGGCGGACGTTCTATATGTCCCATCATCCCATGAGGCTGGTGTCACCCAGCAGGGGCCTACTGTGGGCCTAGTGGGCTGAGCGGCGCGTGGGGCAGAGCGGCTGTGGTGCTAGGGGTGGCACTGAGGGGACAGGGAGCAGCAGGGAGAGGCTGCGGGGTGAGCAGGGCCCTGCTGGGCAGGCTGTGAGTCTCGGTTGGTGGAGGGTGGGGCCCTCAGGAGCCCTCAGATTCCCTCTGGTCTCTGGGGATTTGGGTTGGGAGGCTTAGGAGTTCGGCAGGGCTGTGGACTGAGCCCCAGCTTGCTCGTGTGTGTCGTGTGTGTGGTACAAGGTTGGGGTTTTTGAACAGGTTCAGCAGGTTGGCGCCTTCACCCTGCTGCTGGCTGGTTCTGGATGTTCTCTTCAAGCATTTATAAAGGGCTGTGAATGGGACGGATGGGATTTGTGTTTTGAGAGCACCTCGCACGCTTAGCGGGTGTGGTGGTGGGCTGCGGTTGGGCTGGATGATCTTAGCAGTCTTTTCCAACTTCAGTGACCTTATGATCTATTTGCTTCCTGATGTTCTGTCTGACCACCACTTCAGAGCAGGTCTCTCCCCAGTGCGTGCAAAATGAGGTCGTTTTGTATCCAGGTCTGCATGCGGTCCCAGGTGAACCTCCAGGTCCAGCAGTTTGCTGCATTCATTCCCTCTGTCGCTTGAGCAGCGCGTGTGGGACAGCACGTGGGTAGGGGCTGTGTCATGACTCGTGGTCAGAGGCCTTGGGCACAGCGAATCAGGCACTGCCTGGGGGTTGGTGTGATGGTCTGGAAAAGTTTGAGTGAAGTTTGTGACTACTTACTGTGAGAGCTCTCACAGTAACTCACAGGGAGTTGATTTCTTTCTCAAGGAAAATAGCCCTTGGTAGGACAAGGGGAATGGTTTTAAACTGAGACAGGGGAGGTTTAGGTTGGATATGAGGAGGAAGTTTTCAGCCAGAGGGTGGTGAGGCACTGGCACAGGTTGCCCAAGGAGGCTGTGGATGCCCCATCCCTGCAGGCATTCAAGGCCAGGCTGGATGTGGCTGTGGGCAGCCTGGGCTGCTGGTTGGTGACCTGCACACAGCAGGGGGTTGTCACTAAATG